GTAAGCTTAACTACCTTATTTACAATCTACTCTAAGTGTTCTCTTTTATTTAAATGTGGACTTACTATATTATATGCTTTTATATAATCTGAGATGTTACATTATAACATTAAAATTAATTTAAAATAAAATATAATTAGTTTAAATCATATTGAAATAAAATGAAGTTATTATTTAAAGAAATTAATTAATGAAATTAAATTTAAATATATTGTGACGGTGGAAATTAAGTTGAAACAAGTGAGTGATCAGTTTAAATAAAATAAAGTTTTAACTTTAATTGATGAAAATGTTTTAAATTAAAATGTGATTAATTAAAATTAAATTGTGAGGGATTTGTTAAAAGATTGTGTTTTAATTGATGAAATTTAAATAAGATGGTTGAAAATGAAAGTTGATAAAATGAAACAAAAGCATGAATTCAAAAAGTTATAAAATACGAGTAGTTAAAATTGCCATAGAAATAAAATGCGTGGTTAGTTAAATAAACTATCTTAATCCATGAAATTAATTTAAATAAAATTTTAATCCTGATTTTTCATAAAATCAAATAAATCTAAATTGAAATAATTGTCAAAGTATATGAAGCAAAGTTGAAACATCTGAAAAACTTAAAAAAAATACAAAATTGATGTAAGAATTTGGTGATGATAGATTATAACACATACAACGTACAATAGAATAAGATTCAAAACATAATTAAACTACAATAATTAAAATAAAATAAAAATAAAACAAAAATATGATTCATCTGAAAAAGTTTTGAAAGTTGTCAAGCATTGGCTAAATTCCAATCCATAAAATTTCATCAATTCGATTCTTTTTCAACCTAAGCACAGATATGAAATAAAACAAGGCTAAAAACGTCAAATTACCTTTGTATAAGAGTTTTGTTTTTTTCGCTTTTCTCACAAGTAAAAGAAGTCCTAAATTCATCATTTTACGTTTTTTTTCATCGTGGCACACACGTGTCACTATTATAAACATATTATTGTAATTTCAGTTGACAGCACTCTATTTTTTACCACAAATGAAACGAAAGGAAAAGAAAAGAAAACTTAAAAGTAATATTTACGAGACAAAAGAAAAACTCAATAAGGAAGGGAAAGGAAACTCAAAAATGAAAGGAAGGGAAGCATTGTAATATTTGAGTTTTATACATAACTGTAGGCGGTTCTTACCCAATAAAAATCCTCTACGAGCTCTCTTTAGAATATTACCAAATAAAAACCCGCCACGTCACTACTAAATGTACGCACTCGTAGCAATCGAAAAGTTTCGTGGGATCATCGAGGAGGAGGGAACCCAAAAGCTTAAACCCTCTCACTGACGCTCTAGGGTTTCGTAATTCCAGAGTAAGGTTTTTTCGCAGAGCAAATATGGCGCTAACTAGGGTTTTCGGTGCGACCGCTGGCAGGGCATTCATGGCGGCGGCAGCGAAGAACGCGGCCAAGGTAAAAGCTTCTCCATCAGGCGGAGCAGCTGCAAAACCCGCGGGGAAGAAGACATCTATGGCTAGAGCCAACACCGGCATACAGAAGCCGGTTCCGGTCTCTTCCGAGCTCGGCAACTTCGTCGGCGCTTCTGAAGTGTCACGAACCGTCGCGGTTAAAAAAGTGTGGGAGTACATCAAGCAGCAGAATCTTCAGGTCTTGTTTCCGTTCTCGCTCAATGCTGCTATTTCTATATGTGATCTTAGTTTTTCAGCTCATTTTTAAGTTCTAGGAAGAGGCTATTTTCCACTGTAGAAAAATGAAACGTATTTGGGACTTAGAGATTGTTTTAGTGCTTATCATGTGTTAGATTATCGCTTATAGTGCCTGCTATAGCGAGTGTTGGTTATTATGTTTGGTATAATAAATTTTGATTTTGTTCGTGCTTCTTAAGTGAGATTACTAGCATTGGTGATTCAATGAGGCTAGAAATGGTTTGCCTTTTGTCTCTTAGGTTTTAGAGTCGTGGCTCTGATGTGCTTTGTTTTGCGTAAACCGTTGTTCTATTTATTGGAATTGAACGAGGTAGTCATTTGGTCTCAGATTTCATAAAGCCTTCGCTTTAGTTGCTTTCGAGAAAGTCTTTCATTTTAGTCCTTTTTAGCTTGATTTTTTACAGCCCGTATTGCATCAAAAGGGATTTTGCAAAGGGAAAACTATTTGTACAAAGTTGGGCTAGAGTGAAAATGTTGTAAATTCAAGGAGGGACTATAGTAAGACGCATATGACTGCAGGGACTAAAATAGGGGCGTAATTGTTTGTATTAAGAGGGTTATAGATTAGTTACTATTTGGTGATAATTGGTTTCGGGAGGGAGATAGTTTATGATTATTTATGAGCTGGTTTCTGGAGTTTCTGTATGATCCTTATAATTAATACTTCCTAAGTCTATTTGTGGTCTGAGTTGCTAATGGCATTCTTGATCTTGTTGGCTTTATCCTTCTTTTATGCTGGCATCTTTCTGCTGTATGTTTCCCATCATTTTTGTATTATGTATTTTTTTTTCTTTCTGTTATCAAATAAGTGGAAGTATTCGTGGTATTATTTATAGGGTGCGTTTGGATTTCAGTTGGGAAACCCAAACCAGCTTTCATCTTCAATTGAACAATCGTACAAATATGTATGATGATTTTCTTCACATCCAGTTAAAAGCAAAATTAATCTCCAACTCGATTTGAATCAAAAGTTACAGGGAGTTGTTTTGTTGTTAACTCCAGCTGAAGTCCAAACGCACACATTGAAGTAGGATAATATATTTTGTCTATTCAGTGTTGTCTGTCTTTACAATGCATGACAGAGCTACCCTTTTGCAGAATCCTTCAAATAAGAGGGAGGTCTTTTGTGATGCAAAGCTGAAGACTATTTTTGCTGGGAAGGATAAGGTTGGGTTCACAGAGATTGCTACGTTGCTGTCTAGTCATTTCGGGAAATCAGGCTGATATTCAGCTTTGAAGGTACACTTAATGATGGGAACTTGTTCCAGTATATTAAATAGGTTATTTGATTTTTAATTAACATGGTTTGTGACCAGCTGCTAAGAAACATGGAAATTTGTGGTATCGGACTGGGGGGTTTTGAAAGTGGTGTTATTTTGTCCACTAACTGCTTTCGCGTTGTTCGGGCTTAAGTATATTTTAGATATGTGCATGAATTTTCCAAGTCACATGTCACTCAGCATTGTTATTTTAGAATCTTACATTCAGTTATTCGATATCGTCATCACATTTTGGATTTGAATTAACGATCTGTGTTTTCTAACAAATCAAAACATAAAATTTTATAAGTGACGAAGCAAGTGCTTTTTGCTTCAAAGATGACGCACGTTCACAGTAGTGAATGCTCAACACATCATGTGACTGACCAACTATTTGCGTCACATGAATCCGAGGTGACTGATATTCACGAATTAACTGTGGATTCATGTTAATCCATATAAACTACACTGATTCAGTATTTTCCTTTTACTTTCACTATTGTGTATCATAAATTAAAAACATAAATTATTAAAGGAAAGGGTGCCTAATGCCAATTTCTCTTTGTATTTGGCTATTTTATTCATTGCACATTATAGAGCTTGTGAATTAATTTCTGTAACTTGGTATTGTTGATATTTTTTAATACGGAATTGTTACTATATTCTATTTATATTAAGGACAGGTCTATACATTCCATCTCTTATATATATATATATATATATATATATATATATATATATATATCCTAAAAATATATAATTTTTATTTTTTTAAGCATATATCAGATATAGAGAAATATATTGGGTGTACATCAATATTTTTCATATATTAATAAATAAAATAATGAGTTTAACATAACATGTTAGTTGCAGATAATATGGCCACTTATTGTTGACTGGTGTTTATATTTAGCATTTGATCATTTATCGAATTGCTGATTAAATTGTTTATGATGGAGGAAGTCTTTGAGAAGTTAATTTATATTATATACTATAAGTCAATATTGTATCTCCTGAAAAAGAAGTCATTATTGCTTCTCTAAATCTTGTAAACCAACATTAATTTGAACTTAAAATCACTATTATCAATCATCTATCACATGTGATCATATTTTCAGAATTACTTATATACACATCAAGTATAAAGATCAAAACAGCTTAAGCTTTAATGAAATAATGTTAGATCACCAAATTAAGGTATACTTTAATACAATTAGATTGGATAGAATGAAATTAGAAACATAAATTGAAACCTAATTAAAATTTCACATATTTTTCATTCACAGCCAATGAGCTTAAACATGTTTCAATTATAAAATTATTAGCATTTTATTCATTATCAGTATAAAATATTTTTTATTTTACTCTTTAATCTTAAATCATTATATACAATAAGTTTCTTAAATAGTTTTCTTTAGAATCATACTAACAAATATATTTTAAATGGGCATAAATTCACTTTAATTTATTATATTAATATATTAAACTTGTTATACATGTACCAGGAAAAACACGTGATAACAAAAAAATTATATTATAATTATAAAAATAGATATAAATAATTTTTAATTTAATTATATATAATTTTTATTATTTATCTAATTTAGAAAATAATTAAATTAAAAAACCAGTTAAATAAGAAAATAGTTAAGTTTATAGGAAATCATTTGAAAAAAAATTAAAAACACGTGGACCAAAATAATGATTCGTTTTTATATGATAGTATATAGATCATGAAATTAAATATAAATAATTTTTATAACCTTTTGCAAAAACCTTTTATTTATTTTATAAATAGTTTTATAATTAAAAAATGGTTAAATTTAGAAAAATCGTAAAATTAATAATAATTATTTTAACTTAACTATTTTTATTTAATAATTAAATTTGAAAAACATAGTAAAAAAGAAAAATCTCCATTATATGTAATTATAGATGTCCGTTATGTCAAAATTTCAGTTTTCTCAAAAAATAAAAAGTACTTGCTTTTATGGATGAGAAAAATAAAAGACTTTCTTCATTAAAGAAGGAAATGAATAAAGGGAAGGCCAACTGCTAATCGAAAGTGATATGGAAAACACACAAGAATCACTTACTCTGTAAAGACAAAAAATACTTTAATAGACATATGGTCACAGTGAACATAACCACGACATTGGTGTTACTATTTTGGCATCCCTTACGAAGACCTACTCTGCCTGATCTAATCATTTCTGACAGTCACAATGAGCTGCTATTCATCGCTTGTAGTTCCTTCTTGACTCGTGATGTTTCTCACGATGATCAGAATAATCGGATGAATACGAACGCTCATATCTACCTCTTTTACTTCTATGATATCCATCGGCACTAGAATCCTTCCATGAATACCGTTTTTTTCTGTTCTCTTTATCCATATCATTCTCGGGATGTTCAGAATACTTGGGTCTATACCTTGGTTTGATTCTTCTATTTTGATAATCTCTGTCCCCATCAGAATCTTCAGGTGAATAAGATTGCACAGCTCCGCTCTTCTGATTTCCTTGGTAGCGATCGAAACCAAAATTTCTCTGATGCTTTTGAGAATCGGAATAGGTGGTTGATGAATTCTTATGGCTGCTCTGTTTAAACTTGGGTTGTCTTTGATGACTAGAATCAGATGAATAAGAAATCACATCCCTGCTCTTGTTATCAGCATGATCACATGCAGGACCAGAACCCTCATTGGAAAATGAAGGTCGTTTTTTTGTATCTTTCCTCTCATGCTTTGGTACATTCTTTTTACTTTGATCATCATCCCTCTGACAGTCAGAATCTTCTGATGAATCAGTATACTTTCTTCTGTCATGTTTACTTTTTTTGGTATATTTCCACTCATGCTTTTGTGCATTCTTTCTACTTTGATCATCCGTCTGACTGTCGGAATCTTCGGATGAATAGGGATGCTTTCTTCTGTCATGTGTACTCCTACCATGCCTACGACGTTCAGAACCTTTGGACAAAAAGGAACGCTCTTGTTTAGACCTACTTTGACAATTCTTGTAACTGTCAGAATCTTCAGACGAATGCAAACTCTTGTATCTGCTCCTTCTATGGCCTTCTTCAGACACCGAAGTTTCAGATGAACTTGACCTTGCATGATCTTGCTTCTTTTTCTTTACCTTAACCTTTTTTTTCTTACGTCTCCTTTCTCCATCGTCAGATGATGCTTCACTATCTGAATTTATTTGTTGCTGCTTTTTGTGCTTACTCCTTTTGGACTTCTTTGGTTTCTTAGAAAAGTTGGTTAATAACTCGGGTATATTATCCATACCAAGAAAACCTGAAAAAATAGACAATAATTCTGATTTCTTATAGACAAACATCCAAGACTTATCACCAAATAAGTTCAAAAGTAAGTTGCTAGCAGATACCTCCATACTCATCAAATATGTCCTCGGCAACTATCTGCTGGTTGGGATCATCTGGTTTGAAACCTCCACGAGGAGGACTGATTCCTGGCCTCTGTTTGAGCTCCCATTTTAGGGGCTGCATCAGTTGGCAAACATGATAAAATATATGTCAACATTCTATCATCTTTTAGGAGATAAAAAACAGTACACATCTTCAATCATCAGTTGGCACAACACATAAAATGCATTTCCCAATAGAAAATTGAGCGTACAATAAAGGACATTGGTGAGAGGCACTCTAAAAAGACTGCGGAAATCTCAAATTGTCCAGCTAACGTTGAGTTTTCAAATTCTTCCTGAATTCATATTCTCTGCCCTTCATCTATAAGAGGGAATTTTTTCCCTTCCATGTTCTAAACTAACTTTTTTTGTGGATGCTTAGTTTTTATTATTTCACCACAGTATCTCACTAGAAAATTTTCATTTTCATCTTTGACAAAAGTAAAACTAGCTAACCCAAATACACCCATCAGAGACTCGACATAGTCAACAATTGGTTGCAAGTGGACTTATGTTCCCGAAGATCTTAAACTAATTAGAGACAGGGGATTGAAATAAAGATAGGCAGAAATGACAACTTTGCACATGCCATTTTCAGCATATGTGAACATCAGTTTGTAGTTAATTTTACCATGACACAAGTTGTATTAATTCTATGAGGATAGGATAAGTATATTGCAATTTAGTAGGCTCGTACTGCGAAATTGAACCGAATAAAAAAGTATCATTTATTAAAAGAGTGAGGAAATAAATGAATACAAAGAACATTTACTTCCAAAGTTCAAATTAATAAATGTCAACAAAAAATATTATTACAAAAATTTAACGAAACTATACTCCACTGACACAAATGCAATCATTCACAGTTAAAGACTGAACTGTAAAATCTTCAAAACAATGGTTCAATTAAATTAGCAACTGACCTCAGTAGGATCTGTGTGAGCAAGGATAGCATTCAAGGGATCATCTCTTTTCAATCTGCTTTCCTCATTAGGCATTATAACATCCTTCAAGGGACATTCACGATCACCACTTTGATGACCATAGTTCCCACATCTTAAACATTTTACATTACGAACTTCAACTGCAAAAGGTTTCACCCTGGCAGGAACTCCTGTTTCCAGTCTAAAAACCATTCAGTTACTAAAAGCACAATTAAATAGGTTGACAAAAGTTCATGGGATCAAACAGCAGCAACTAAAGGTGAAGAATACATTTCATTTCAAAATATATAACTAGAAATTTGGTTTTGTCATATTCAATAATGAAAGATAAGAAGAGTTTTACCAATCTGTCAATTACCAACAAACTGATCTGGGCTGCACTTGATACACTACAGATTACGGTCACTTTCAACACATATATGGTAATTTAACATGTACCTCACATCCATGATGTAACAACTACAGAAAATTTTTTTCCCTGTACCCGACAAGTAAGAAATGCTGTGATTGTTTGAAACTGTGATGTTAAGATCCAGAGTTGTTCTTAAAACGAGAAGAAAGAATAGTTCCCTCTAGTGAATTTATGACTTCCAATAAGTTTAAACTTCAAACCTAAATGTTCTGTTCACTAAAGGATGGTGTACACCAACGAAAAGTGGTTTGCACAAGTTTTCAAAACCCTATTTTCATTAGCTTGTACTGAAATAACAAAAAAGAAAAACCTTTGAAAAAACCAATAAGTCTACTCTATACTTTCAAGTTCCAACATTGGACATAATATAGAATCCATCTTGGTCTAGAGCCTAAATTGGTAAATATTGTACTTCATGTTATCCTTATTTCAACTTTAAAATGTTTTGGACTCCTGCTCAACAAAATAACAAACAAGTTATCTAAGTGGTTTAATGATAAGTAATTTAAGTTTCACTCTGAGAATTGTTTGACCAATTTTAACCCATAATTGAGACAACAACAAAATCTTGATCTCCACGTGCGGCAAAAAGTATAACTTCCTAGACTAAGACTCAATTATGCTTCTGATTGACAACAGATCAAGCAATCCAACCAAATTAAAATAGGCACATCATCAGATAGTCTTTTAATATCTCATAAAACCTATGATGCACCGGTACATCAATTTGTATCAAGTATTCATGTCCGACACATGTCCTTATCCATTACTTTAGAATACTTCTTATCAATAAAGTATCTAACCTATAAAACTGTAATATTTTTATAATGACAATAATTTAAAATTTTTTATTTTGAAAATGTTTAATACATTTGATTTTAATTTAGATTCACACAATAGCAATCATATATTTATCATATTTTTAAAAAAAAATCTATATTTTTCAAAATGCACGGATTGTATCCTATCATTTTAAAAATAAGCGCATATCAGATACGGAGCATAAAAAAAATTCATCAACACCAAAGGTTTCAATCCTAGGAAGAGCAATGCATACCCAGGCAAGGCAATAATACAAACGCACAAACCACAGAAAATAAGAACAATTGACATACCTTGGTGCATTTTTAAGAACTTCGAACTCTTCTTCTGTCGGAAGAGGCCGCCCAAAAACATCCTTGGGCCTCGGTTTTTTCTTCTCTTCAATCAAATTTGTACTCTGCGGTCTGGGAGGCAAGAAACACGAGTATATTCAATCATACAATAACTTAAACCGAGTGACATAATAATTCCATTACTATTTAACACAAAGTAAGCGACGGAGGCGGTACACTGAAGAGGAAGGTCCATCATCGTGCTGAGGTCCCTTGTCCATGTCCTCTCGTTTCTTCTCATCATTCATCTCCGCAGCTTTGGCGCTTTCGGCATTGTAACCTGGAGGACGAACGTACATGAAACTAACAGCTTGCATAAGCTCCACCTACACAAAACCCTAATTTCAATAACAAGCCACGAAAAAAAAATGAAACCATGAAACACGAAGAGAGAGGATGCGATGTGAACCTTTTCCTTCTCCTTCTTGGAGATGAGAGCGGTTTGGCGAAAAAACTCCTGCTCCTGCGCGAACTGGAATCGCAAACAGAAAGTAATTAATTGGAGGACGAATTGCGGTAGAATGGCAGGAATAAAAGAAAACTTACCTCGCGAGAAACCTCTTCGGTGCGGCGTTGCCGATTGGCGTGGGTTTGTTCGGCGATCCACTTGCGGCGTTGGTTGGGATAAGAGAGAGGATGCCATGGCTTCTGGTTGAGATAGGAGTGGCTCCATGCGGTGCCGGATTTGGTCTTGTAATCAACTTCTCCGTTCGCGATTCGCTTGCTCAGCCTTATGCCTCCTCCTTCTTCCCCCTCCATCACATAGATTCTCGATTCTTTTTCACCTCTCTATCTGGAACACTGTTTATGTTTGACCCTTCTTCAACTAAGGAACAAAATGATGAATAAAAAGTACTATAAAACCTCGTCAATTTTTTAAATCCAGAAAGGTCACTGAATTAGATTTTAAATTGTTTTTTAGATAAATCAGTGGAAACATAGGTGTATAGTATATATTATAATTTTTTAATTATAAAATAAATAATTTTTAGAATTTTAATATAGATTTTTTTATTAAAGATAGATTAATTGGATTAAGCAAAATAATTGTACAACTTAATAATAAAATAATAAAATAATTTATATCAATCAAGATAAAGTTAGTAATGAATTATGTGAAAAAACAGTTTTTAAATATCATCAAATAGTTATAAAAAATCATTTCAATAATAACTATACATAATGTAATATAGCTTCATTCTATATTATTTAAAAATATGAGTATTTAAAATATTAATATTTTAATTAGTTATTCCTAACTTTAAATCAGAAAAAGATATTTTTACAAGAATGTTCTTTGTTTTTTTCTTAAATGTATAAGTAGTTAGGAAAACTGCTCCTAAAATTTATTGTTTCGGACGTGAGGGGCAGTGCTGGTCCCACGTTTCCACGTCGGTGGGAGACCTGCAAAAGATTCTCCGATGCCAAAGTCAGTTGAGAGCTAAGGCGTTTTTCTCAGACAGTAATAAATGTGCAGTAAATGCGATCGATCTACCACTCACCCTGAATCTGTATTTATAGTTTTCGCTATGGGCTTGGGATTAGTGAAAAGTTAATCACGGCCCAATTCAGCCCAATAGCTTTTAAACCCTACTTACCTTAAATTCAGATGGTTAGTGATGCGACCGGCCGCCCTCGAGTCATAACCTTAAGGCCGGTCGGTCCTGGCGGGCACACGGCCTGGGCGACCGGCTTCGGGTGAGTCTTGGTTATGGGTGGACGGGTGTCTACCCGGCCATATATATCCTTTCACAGCAGTGAGTAATTACGAGCAGATGGGCGTCCGCCCGTCAACACTCAACATTTCTATTCAGTAAGTAAAAAGGAGAGTTTTCTGGGTCCCGTATGGTGATGTGGGCGGCCGGTACGAGGACGCGGGTGTCCTTCCGTACAGCGTCCGATTCCTGTTGGTACATTTATATATTGTAACTGGAACATATAAAAGTATACTTAAAATTATTTATTTATAGGTGCATGCTAATATATTTTAGGATAATGATATTATGACTCATCTTTCTTAAAATATTTTAACTTACATTTTAACTTTGTGTTAAGCGGTAATTGATCCACATTGGCTGAAATTAAAAGAAAAATAAAATAATATGGAATGTCCAAAATTAGAGATTCTATGTTTACTGTTTTCAAATATTTTTCTTAAATATGACTTTCTTTTTGACAATTTTGGTTTATAATGTGCTGTTAAAATCCCACCATTTGTTTCCCATTAAGGTCGCGAGCAAGTTCTGCTCAATAACAAAATTGAAGACAATCAGATTGTGAGCTTTATTTATGTTAAGTAAAACGAATGAAAGTATTGGCAACATTAAAAAATTTATAACAAAATCAACCATTAAAAAACATTATTCAATAATCGAATCTTGTAGCAGTTATTGACTTTCCACATCATTGTCAAAAATCCAATCATAAACATATTTTTTTCCTAAACTGTTGGACTTTCTCCTAAAAAAACAAACAAATACACACAAAAATAATTAAGTGATGATTAAATCACAATACACTGCAGGATAACAAAAACACAATACTAAAATGTGAAAAATATATCATGTACACTACTTTTATCTAGCAAACACAGGAAAAAAAACTAATTGTCAAAATTGAACTCTACAAACTAGCAATTTACATTAAGTTCAAAAACAAGTTCAAGAAAACATGTCAATTTTGATATTTATTGATTGTTTTATACATAACTTTTTCCACGTAACTCCAAATGAGATGATTCTTTTTGTTTTGGAAACTATACTCATACGACTTTCTTTTGACACCATACTCGTAATTTTTGGACCTCTAAGCTAGCTGCAGTTAAATTCTCAAAATCAACATTTTTCCAAAACTATACAAAGCACTCTTGCAAGTTCTTCATAATCAATTAAAGAGGAAAATATACTAAAATAAGAGATAAAATGTCTCTTTACTAAAATGTCTCTTTCACGTAATGTCTCTTTCACGTAATGTCTCTTTTATTCTCTTTGAAACAATTTATAATGTCATGGTTCAAGAAAGTTATACTCAACGAACACATTTTTTTATTCCAATCAAAGGCGTGAGATTCATATCAATAACATCAAACATTTTTTTGAAGAAAAAGTATAGTAAAGCTTCTATTGGCCACAAGTTCACCCTAAGGTACAAGTCAAAAATGATTCTGCCATATTACAACTTCAACAAAACCATAGATGCATATTTCAGAACAAATATCACAAGAAAATCATACAACCTATACAAAGATTAGATCTCCTACCTCAGGTCTAGTAAGATCTGTTAATTCTGGTTGCTCTAAGGTCCACTGCTACTCCCTTTGCACATTCAACTAAGAAGTTCATATTACCTCATGTTTTTTCCTTATTTTCCAATTTGTTTTGTTAAAGTTTGCTTAAGTTTCATTAAGGAAGAGGCCATGACAACATTCACTTTGTTTACCAACTTCTTCCATTGCAAGAATACCTACAATATAAGAAACAAGGAGTTCAAAATTAGAAAAAGAGCCACAAAAATAGACTCAATAACAACCTAAAATGATAAAAAATTGAAAAGATTGAAAAAAAAAATCAAAATAATCGAACAAGAAGAAGAAAACGAAAACCTCAACAACCAACCGCAAAAATTCACATCAATGGTGATTCAATGCTTCCATGGTAGTTCGAAACCAACCCAAGATGTAACGAACGATGACAACAATAAATAGTTGTGAACTCTAGACTAAACGACGAGAACCTCAAAATCTCACGTAAATGGTGGTTTGATTCTTTAATGGTGTTTCAAAACCAATGGAAAGTGAAACGAACAATGAAAAAAATTTGCAAACTCCAATGGTTGAACTCGCATATCATTGTTCTATATTTTAATATAGTTCCTACAAATAAATAACTATTTTATATTATGCATGAGAGAAATTAAGTATGACTAGGCTTTTGTTGTTTGTTTGCACACCCAGATATAAATTACTTCATGCTACTCCATAATTTCCACCTACAACCCTTTAAATTTGTATATTTTCGAATGTATAATTTAAAATATGTTTTTTATATTTTGGATTATAAAATATATATTCTGTATAATGAAAACTTATGTTTTAGATGTATATCACAGGATTAAAAATAAAAGATGTATTCTAGAATTTACATTTCAAGATGCACAGGGAAGAATATAAGAAATTGTGATGGGTGTAGAAAGAAAATTATAGCCACATATGGCTGCAATGGGATTTGGGTCCAATGGGCCAGTATAATAGTAGGCGGCTATTTCTTTCTATACTTTAACAATTTCTTTTTCAAATATAAATTTTATATTATGAAATATATAATTGGAAATATATTTTTTATGTTGTATTTTGAAATATATAATTTAAAATGTAAAATTCAGAATTATTCTACGTAATTTAGAATACATGTATGTTTTTATTTTAAAATGTATAATTCATAATATAAAAAAATGTTTTTCAGATTATACTTCGAAATACAAAATTTTATGGGATTGAAGGAAGAAGTGGCCTGGTTCTTTTTACACACCTTTACTCAGTTTGGAAATTCTAAACTGTTTGAATGGTCTATGATTACATTTTTTAAATTACATATTTAAAGTCGAAGTGCTCGTGGGTTCCATTATTCTTAGGAAAATATAAAGTTAGTTTAAAGGGTTTGGAAAGAAAGGTAAGAGTAGGGATAACAAATATATTCATGTTCACATATATTTATAAATAAAATTTACAATAGATAGTTGGTACCCGTGAATATTTTAATATGTAGATATAAACGAATTGAGTGCATGTATTATATTATCCATACCCAATGATATTCTTTACTTGCAAAGAGTAAAAATTATATTTTATTAAGCTAAATTTAATTAAAATTAAAGATAATTTATATTTTATTAGGTTAAATTTAATTAAATTTATATTTTATATATTTTTTGAATTTTATTTATATTTTATTTTAAAAATTTATAAAATATAAATATATTTTTTTAGTCTAAGGGTATCCACGGGTACTCTCAAGTTTTAAAATATCATCGGATATTTTTTAGACGGGTATCGGATTGATAACTAGATGGGTAATGTGTCAATTTTTTGTTGCAAGTTGGGTAGTTGGTAGAGACTATCCGTGCCTGATTGGTTGTTATCCCTAAGTGAAAGAGGTTGTTGGTTAAACTCCCACGTTGACAAAAACTAGTAACTTATATTTGCAAATAAAAAAAGACATATTTTGGAAATATACTTTGGATTCAACAATGAAAATATATCTCATAATTTTCTTGATTAACTTTTAAGGGGTATTGGAAAAGTCTAAATTGATCTGGGTAAGATTTTATGTGTTTAATTTAGTCATATTAATTTTACTTAAATACAACTTTTGTTCCTATTTTTATTTACTTTATTCAATTTGATTTTTTTTTATTCAATAAAGTTTAAACTTTTGTCAATTTTAATCTTTTTTTAAACTATATTTGAATCGTTAACAAAATATGAGTAATGTGTATCCCGTGTCAAATCATATTCTTTTTTTTCCTTCTTAATTTAAAAAGTGTTGTCCACATTTTAAGTTCACATTATATTACATGACAATGTTAGTGCCATATGTTAACTCAGTATCAATCTCGTGTTAGTGTTAATGTCATATGTAACTTTAGTGACACGTAAGAATGACAACGGGTCAGACATAAATAGAGCATACTCGTATGTGACCTGTAAAAAAAAAATCACAACTACTTATGGGTAATAAATATTCATCGGTACCCATTATCCCTTGTGATTTTTATCTGTGGATACCTAAAGACTTTGTCATTCTAGTATCACGTATCAGTGTTTGTTCAATTTAATTCTAATTTTCATTAATTTTTTTATTAAGTCCCAATTTTGTCTTGTCAAATATAATTTGTACATAAATGTTGTATTGAATATTTTACTAAAATTCATATGTTTATTAAATATTTCTTTCATTATTTCTAAATCAACTCTATCTATATTATTGAAAGGAAATTGTTATATTTATATTTTATTTTTGCTACTTGTAAAAAAATAGGATTAGAGTTGGTTTGAAGATAATGAAGAAATTATATTTCAATAATATAATTATAGTTGGTTTAAAAATAGTGAAAGAAATATTCAATAAAAATGTGAATTTTAATAAAAATTCCAGTATAACATTTATATAAAAATTAAAATTGTTCTATTGTGACAAAATTATGTCTGAATTAAAAAAAATATAACTAAATTAAACAAACCTGACAAAAGTTGGAATTGAATTGAATATAAGACATTAACATATGGCAGTGATATTGATCTCATACATGATACTAACAGTGCCACGTGGTAGAATGTTAATTTGATATGTGGATAACTTTTTTTAAATTAAGAAAAAGTTAAAAATTTACAAAAATTTGACACACACAATTTACGTTTTCTTAATGATTTAAATGCACTTAAAAAGGACCAAATTAAAAAAATTGATAGAAGATTAAGACGACAAAAAGGACAAAGTTGTATTTAAGCCTATTAGTTTAGTTATTTAAGTTTTTAGTGTTCTTCAAAATATATATTTATCGTAAGATGAGATTCTAAAAGACTAAGGAAAACATTTGTTCAACATCATTTAACAATAGGGCAAAAAGATTATTTACCGTGAATACTAGACTAATTCTTGAGTAGTTTTATTATATCGAATAACTGAAATGACAATGAATTAGCCAACAAAAAGAGCACTTAGATTTGTCTGTATATAATCGATTTTTGTCGAGGATGAAGAATAATGTTTCAGGGCTGTGACAGTTGAAAGTTGAAACCTTGCTGGATTTATGTTATCCATTTAGAGGAAAACAAAATAGAAACATGTAATCTCATATTCGTCATTATATTCTTAATTAAGGTACCACTTTTGTGGAGCCTAATTGTCCTACGCCTCTGTTCAGTTTGCCTTCAGTGCAATTTCATTGTAATTTTTCTACAGATAAGATTCGAATTCAATGCATACAGACCTTTAACTTTATATGTGATAAGTGCATGCATATATATATATATTTATGATATATCTCATCTTATACCCAAACACATCTTTGCTCAGCGGTCAATTTCTTTAACTTTCGGTTTTGTTTTTGAATATGTGCAATTTGCTGCAAACATAAACGGAATCACTCAATTGGCTTCTCAAAATGCAGCCCTTTTGAGGTCCCACTCACATGTAAATGTTTGAAATGAAATGAATTGTTTCTCATTGGATTGCTGCAATTTGTAAAGATTTCAGACTCTGGTGGCATCTGGTTCCTAAGCCAACTACCGAATCTTTGTTCTTTACTTTTGACCAATTTCTTGCTTAATACCATGATTAACTGAATGCTAGATTGTTACTTAACATCTCTCGATGATACCGTGATTCTTCTGTGGATAAAAGTTACATTCTTCAAATTTTGTTTATTCTTTGTAGTTGTAACTTCTTGAAACTTTCGGTTATGGCTACCAACACTTTGGATATGTGCAATGTGCTGTAAGGCTTTAAGCATAGCATCACTCACATTGACTTCTCTATCTCAGCATGAAGCCTTTCTGAGGTCCCACTCACACGCAAAATTGTTGAATTAGACGGGTTCTTGCAGCAAATTGGAAAGATTGCAGAACTTTGATGGTACCTGGTACCTAAGCCAAATTTCGAATCTTATATTTCATTTTTGACCAATTCATGTTCAGTATCATGGTTAACTGAATGCAAGTTATAGGACATCTCTTGACGATATCATGATTCCTCCGTGAATAAGTTTCATTCCTCAATTTTGTTTATTCTTTGTAGGTAACCAGTGACAATGTAGGAAAACAAATAGCATATTCTTCCTTCATCATCTCATCTTCCAAGAAGTGCATTATGTTCAAAATAATGACATGTTTTGAAACACACGTCGTACCTTGAAATTTTTAAGTGTAGTGATTTTCATTTGATACACATTCTGCATGTGGGCATGCTTTTGCAGAATAGGAAAAGCATGTAATGAGTGAGTCTTGGAAGTAACACAGTAATGGAGATGAAAAGATAAATTTGGGGTAACATCTAACTAACAAGGAAAATGAGTTTGATTTACCTAGGTATAGAGCTTCCACTGTGTACTCATGTTGGAGATTCCAAAATGTCTACAAATAAAGTGATTTCGTACTAAATAAATGGATACAAGTCTCACTTTACAAACCAGTTTTGTAAGATTGAGTTAGGTTTAAAGTCTTTTTCTTAATCGCACTTTTATTCTGGAGTTAGTGTGGAAGAAGGTAGAATTCTTGCATCTGTTCAATGACAGGTGCTTGACAATTACACATAATGCCTGCATTAAGGGGTTTGGTTGGTGATCAAAAAATGAGTAGGTATGATTGGAACCTTTCACTTCTGTTGCTTGAGTTAGGCTGAGGCTAAATTGGACCAAAAAATTATTAGACTTCACTGTTGTTTTTTTCTATTTCTATTGCTAGACTTCTATTAATATACATATTTTGGGTTGTGGATGGCAATGGCATATATAATAATGAATCCTTTTTTGCTTCTGAACGTAAGCACAGGGATAACATTTTCTATGCCGCAAAACATTCACTTTCTTAACTTTGTTGATTTATTAAACCATCATGGAAAGCCTGACTATGATAACCTAAAGTTATAACTATGCGTGCAGTACCTTTTTCTTGTTTATGACTAAATACCTAACACTTGGTGAAGATGAGCAACGTCAATTGTGATAAAATAATTGTTCAAGTTCGATGGAATCTATCTTAACTTACTTTTATCTAATAGTGATCCGGTTCTGCTTCTCCACATCTCACATTCAGCTGAACTCTAAAATATATATCCTTCTCCAAATTTATCTGCTAATTGAGTGACAAGCCGATTAGAAGATCATATATTCTACAATTTGTTGGGAAATTTCACATAGTTTGCCTCAATTTGAGACTTACATATTTGTTAGAAAATATCATTTGATGTCAATTGGTTTTAAAACATTCTACTTGTTTCAGATGTTACTGGTTTTAAGCAAAATTATAAGCAGTCATTTTCTATGTCCTACCTCAAAGTGATTAGAGTGGATGATGCACTATGCTGAAGTAGACTCATGGATCTTAGGTATCCTTTTTTATATAGATGAAGTATGAACCTGATTTCAATGGTCTTCTTGGTAATCACTTTTCATAACACATTGCCATCCATCCACTTTCGATTATTTTATCAAGCTGAATTTGATGTCCATTAACTAGGCTTAATCTTTGATTATCATTTGGTTTTCAATTAAGCCATCATTTATTCATCATTGGATGATGAATAACACTTGGTTAGTTGGATCAATTTTAATGGTATGCTAATTCTTCTAAGCACTCTAACCCACCATACTCTTTAATCATGAGTGAAAAATTCAACAAAACCTCTGATAATTTCCACTAAGTTAGAAAAAGAGTAAATAAACAGTGTGTGCACTGAGTGTAAAGTGTTTTTACACTGTCATTCATTGACAGACTGCCATGTATGATCAGTGTGTTGATTTTTACAGTGACTATCTTTAGAATCATTCTTACTAAGTTTTTATTGATTGACAATATAAATTTTGTTTGCTCTGATAAATTAGATTAAACTCTTCGTTGAGAAAGGAAACAACAAACTTGTGGTCATCAAATGCCTGACAATAATCTACAATTGTGTTTGAGAGATAGAAAACGGTTCTGAGCATTCAGCCTTAATCTTCTGGACGTTATCTTTGACCTTTATGCTGATTAGAATGCAGTGTTATTTCTCTTGCTTCTTATCACGTGGCATACATAGACACATTATGTAGTTGAATTTATGTTGAAGAAGAAATATAGAGTTAGTATTCTCTAATCTATTAAAAATAAGTCTTGTACATTCAACTCAGTCAGGGAGAGTTGATAAAATTTCATTACATGAGTTCCATCGAAAGTCTAGTATTCTAGCATTATTCCTCGGTTGACTTGTACAAAAACTCTTCAAGTTCTCGTGCTGTGTGTATGGGAGCTCCGTCATAATTTTGATCTACCTAACTCTATGCAGTGCAAAATAAGCAACTAGTCGATAACCCACCAACATCAGGGCCATAATGCACACATCAACCCACAAATGATTCAAGCCCATTGATTTGATAGGAGGAAAATCTGCCACTTTGCACAGCTCCCCCTTTGAACATTCATAGTAGTCATTTTCATTGTACTGGACACCTAAAAGCAGCTTGTAACAGTAGTAGCTATAGCTCAAGTACTTGAGCCACACAATGAATGGAGGAATCTGCTGTATGTAGTACCCTCCAGCAATGAGAAACACAAGGGTTGTCACAGAAGCTAGAGTAGTTGCCTGTTTAATCTCCATCAAAATAGCACCAAATGCTAAACCAAGGCTTTGAGAGACAACAACACTGTAAAGAACCACAAGAAGAGAAAGGATAAAAGTCACAGGATCAGGTTTAAGCCCTCCCATCCAATAGATTATGAAAACAAATGCAGTTGGAAGTGCAAGCTCCAGTGGCAAGTCTCCTATTGTTCTGGCAAGAAAGTAGGAAGAAAGGCGATACATTCCTGATGAACGTTCCTTGATCAGCATTCTCCTCTCTTGAGGGAATGTGAAAACAGCATTGTAGAGAGGGTAGAATCCCCAGAAAACAGAAAAGAAAAAGAGCAAGGCAACCTGCATTACACATACAGTGCNCAAAAATTGATAGAAGATTAAGACGACAAAAAGGACAAAGTTGTATTTAAGCCTATTAGTTTAGTTATTTAAGTTTTTAGTGTTCTTCAAAATATATATTTATCGTAAGAAGAGATTCTAAAAGACTAAGGAAAAAATTTGTTCAACATCATTTAACAATAGGGCAAAAAGATTATTTACCGTGAATACTAGACTAATTCTTGAGTAGTTTTATTATATCGAATAACTGAAATGACAATGAATTAGCCAACAAAAAGAGCACTTAGATTTGTCTGTATATAATCGATTTTTGTCGAGGATGAAGAATAATGTTTCAGGGCTGTGACAGTTGAAAGTTGAAACCTTGCTGGATTTATGTTATCCATTTAGAGGAAAACAAAATAGAAACATGTAATCTCATATTCGTCATTATATTCTTAATTAAGGTACCACTTTTGTGGAGCCTAATTGTCCTACGCCTCTGTTCAGTTTGCCTTCAGTGCAATTTCATTGTAATTTTTCTACAGATAAGATTCGAATTCAATGCATATAGACCTTTAACTTTATATGTGATAAGTGCATGCATATATATATATATTTATGATATATCTCATCTTATACCCAAACACATCTTTGCTCAGCGGTCAATTTCTTTAACTTTCGGTTTTGTTTTTGAATATGTGCAATTTGCTGCAAACATAAACGGAATCACTCAATTGGCTTCTCAAAATGCAGCCCTTTTGAGGTCCCACTCACATGTAAATGTTTGAAATGAAATGAATTGTTTCTCATTGGATTGCTGCAATTTGTAAAGATTTCAGACTCTGGTGGCATCTGGTTCCTAAGCCAACTACCGAATCTTTGTTCTTTACTTTTGACCAATTTCTTGCTTAATACCATGATTAACTGAATGCTAGATTGTTACTTAACATCTCTCGATGATACCGTGATTCTTCTGTGGATAAAAGTTACATTCTTCAAATTTTGTTTATTCTTTGTAGTTGTAACTTCTTGAAACTTTCGGTTATGGCTACCAACACTTTGGATATGTGCAATGTGCTGTAAGGCTTTAAGCATAGCATCACTCACATTGACTTCTCTATCTCAGCATGAAGCCTTTCTGAGGTCCCACTCACACGCAAAATTGTTGAATTAGACGGGTTCTTGCAGCAAATTGGAAAGATTGCAGAACTTTGATGGTACCTGGTACCTAAGCCAAATTTCGAATCTTATATTTCATTTTTGACCAATTCATGTTCAGTATCATGGTTAACTGAATGCAAGTTATAGGACATCTCTTGACGATATCATGATTCCTCCGTGAATAAGTTTCATTCCTCAATTTTGTTTATTCTTTGTAGGTAACCAGTGACAATGTAGGAAAACAAATAGCATATTCTTCCTTCATCATCTCATCTTCCAAGAAGTGCATTATGTTCAAAATAATGACATGTTTTGAAACACAAGTCGTACCTTGAAATTTTTAAGTGTAGTGATTTTCATTTGATACACATTCTGCATGTGAGCATGCTTTTGCAGAATAGGAAAAGCATGTAATGAGTGAGTCTTGGAAGTAACACAGTAATGGAGATGAAAAGATAAATTTGGGGTAACATCTAACTAACAAGGAAAATGAGTTTGATTTACCTAGGTATAGAGCTTCCACTGTGTACTCATGTTGGAGATTCCAAAATGTCTACAAATAAAATGATTTCGTACTAAATAAATGGATACAAGTCTCACTTTACAAACCAGTTTTGTAAGATTGAGTTAGGTTTAAAGTCTTTTTCTTAATCGCACTTTTATTCTGGAGTTAGTGTGGAAGAAGGTAGAATTCTTGCATCTGTTCAATGACAGGTGCTTGACAATTACACATAATGCCTGCATTAAGGGGTTTGGTTGGTGATCAAAAAATGAGTAGGTATGATTGGAACCTTTCACTTCTGTTGCTTGAGTTAGGCTGAGGCTAAATTGGACCAAAAAATTATTAGACTTCACTGTTGTTTTTTTCTATTTCTATTGCTAGACTTCTATTAATATACATATTTTGGGTTGTGGATGGCAATGGCATATATAATAATGAATCCTTTTTTGCTTCTGAACGTAAGCACAGGGATAACATTTTCTATGCCGCAAAACATTCACTTTCTTAACTTTGTTGATTTATTAAACCATCATGGAAAGCCTGACTATGATAACCTAAAGTTATAACTATGCGTGCAGTAACTTTTTCTTGTTTATGACTAAATACCTAACACTTGGTGAAGATGAGCAACGTCAATTGTGATAAAATAATTGTTCAAGTTCGATGGAATCTATCTTAACTTACTTTTATCTAATAGTGATCCGGTTCTGCTTCTCCACATCTCACATTCAGCTGAACTCTAAAATATATATCCTTCTCCAAATTTATCTGCTAATTGAGTGACAAGCCGATTAGAAGATCATATATTCTACAATTTGTTGGGAAATTTCACATAGTTTGCCTCAATTTGAGACTTACATATTTGTTAGAAAATATCATTTGATGTCAATTGGTTTTAAAACATTCTACTTGTTTCAGATGTTACTGGTTTTAAGCAAAATTATAAGCAGTCATTTTCTATGTCCTACCTCAAAGTGATTAGAGTGGATGATGCACTATGCTGAAGTAGACTCATGGATCTTAGGTATCCTTTTTTATATAGATGAAGTATGAACCTGATTTCAATGGTCTTCTTGGTAATCACTTTTCATAACACATTGCCATCCATCCACTTTCGATTATTTTATCAAGCTGAATTTGATGTCCATTAACTAGGCTTAATCTTTGATTATCATTTGGTTTTCAATTAAGCCATCATTTATTCATCATTGGATGATGAATAACACTTGGTTAGTTGGATCAATTTTAATGGTATGCTAATTCTTCTAAGCACTCTAACCCACCATACTCTTTAATCATGAGTGAAAAATTCAACAAAACCTCTGATAATTTCCACTAAGTTAGAAAAAGAGTAAATAAACAGTGTGTGCACTGAGTGTAAAGTGTTTTTACACTGTCATTCATTGACAGACTGCCATGTATGATCAGTGTGTTGATTTTTACAGTGACTATCTTTAGAATCATTCTTACTAAGTTTTTATTGATTGACAATATAAATTTTGTTTGCTCTGATAAATTAGATTAAACTCTTCGTTGAGAAAGGAAACAACAAACTTGTGGTTTCAAATGCCTGACAATAATCTACAATTGTGTTTGAGAGATAGAAAACGGTTCTGAGTATTCAGCCTTAATCTTCTGGACGTTATCTTTGACCTTTATGCTGATTAGAATGCAGTGTTATTTCTCTTGCTTCTTATCACGTGGCATACATAGACACATTATGTAGTTGAATTTATGTTGAAGAAGAAATATAGAGTTAGTATTCTCTAATCTATTAAAAATAAGTCTTGTACATTCAACTCAGTCAGGGAGAGTTGATAAAATTTCATTACATGAGTTCCATCGAAAGTCTAGTATTCTAGCATTATTCCTCGGTTGACTTGTACAAAAACTCTTCAAGTTCTCGTGCTGTGTGTATGGGAGCTCCGTCATAATTTTGATCTACCTAACTCTATGCAGTGCAAAATAAGCAACTAGTCGATAACCCACCAACATCAGGGCCATAATGCACACATCAACCCACAAATGATTCAAGCCCATTGATTTGATAGGAGGAAAATCTGCCACTTTGCACAGCTCCCCCTTTGAACATTCATAGTAGTCATTTTCATTGTACTGGACACCTAAAAGCAGCTTGTAACAGTAGTAGCTATAGCTCAAATACTTGAGCCACACAATGAATGGAGGAATCTGTTGTATATAGTACCCTCCAGCAATGAGAAACACAAGGGTTGTCACAGAAGCTAGAGTAGTTGCCTGTTTAATCTCCATCAAAATAGCACCAAATGCTAAACCAAGGCTTTGAGAGACAACAACACTGTAAAGAACCACAAGAAGAGAAAGGATAAAAGTCACAGGATCAGGTTTAAGCCCTCCCATCCAATAGATTATGAAAACAAATGCAGTTGGAAGTGCAAGCTCCAGTGGCAAGTCTCCTATTGTTCTGGCAAGAAAGTAGGAAGAAAGGCGATACATTCCTGATGAACGTTCCTTGATCAGCATTCTCCTCTCTTGAGGGAATGTGAAAACAGCATTGTAGAGAGGGTAGAATCCCCAGAAAACAGAAAAGAAAAAGAGCAAGGCAACCTGCATTACACATACAGTGCAACCCCATATTAGTCCCTCTTAAGTGTTAAACTTTACAGAACAAAAAATGTATAGCCAAGCAATATTAATCATAGTTTGACTTCTTGGAGTTCGGGAAACACTGCTTGAACTTGAAAATGGTGTGATGTTGACATGAATAAGAAAAGGAACTCGATCAGATTAAAGGCCTAATCATATATGTTACCAGTACTTTTTTAGTTGTTATTAATTGGCTGTCAATATCATCAACTGGAAAAGATAACCTTGAAGCAATTGCTACTTACCCGATCTTCAATGTGTGACTCCGGAGTATGCCACCACAGTAGTCCACCAAGAAAAGCGACACTTACAACTTGGAATATTCTCAGCCTGTTGAAGGCTTCATACCTTCGCTCCTTCACTCCACTTTGTAATAGTACTTTGAACTGATGCCACCAGCTTGTGCTCCATTGTTCTGGCTTTATCGAATTTCCTGAATCAATTCATCAATAGAGACATTTCAGGCCACTGGGACTAATAATAGAGCTATGATTGTTTTCCCCTTAAAGATAGAAAAGAAGACCTACTTGCACAAGCATCTTTTGTGATATTTTGGTTGTTCACTTCCATGCTGCAAATCTCAGCTTTCAGCCTCGGAGATATATTCTTCTCATAAGCAGAGATGAGGGATTCTCTCACCTGTTTCCTCTCTTGTTCCAGTCCCTCACTTTGTTCAGTTGCTTGCTTGGAGTCTGGGGCAATCCCTGCAAAGCATCATAACATTAGTGTTGCTTTC